TTTTTGATTGCTCGATTTAGTACCTGCTAAGACTTTGGTGAATGACTTACCCTTTAAGAAAATAAAAGGCGGATGGGCGCGGGTAGTATTTCTTAAGATAAGGCTGATTTTGGTAAATGACCGAACAATATAAAGAGTAATCACTGGAATGAATGGGGGTGGGTGGGCGGGGCTATTGCGTGCTTATAAATTACTGTGGAAAAAGTTAAACTTGGATTTTCAAAATTTTTAAATTTTTGACCTTTTCCAAGCACCTTCGAAATTATCTAAAGGCATTTTTTCGTTAATTCCGATTTACAGAAGTCATTTCGGCAACGTTTGTTCGAAACTCCATAAAATAAAATATGGCCATTTTTGGGATAATTGAAAATCTTAATTTTGAGACCGAAAATTTTAAAATTGTTGGTTTGGGACCAGCAACATATGTTTTTCGAATCAGCTCTTCAATACAACCTATATCCGAGAATTTTTTATGGATTTTTAACAAAGTTTGCCAAAAGCTTGAATTTTCAAAATTTTGAAATTTAAATTAAATTATTTTTTTAAATTACAGTAAATAACTGAACAATATTAAGAGTAATCACTGGAATGAAGAGGGAGTGGGTGGGCGAGGCTTATTACTTGCTTATAAAAGACTCTAAGAAAAAGTTAAACTTGATTTTCTTCTCGTTCTTTACTAGCCCCGCCTACCACCTCTTTATTTTCTTAGAAGGTAATGGGTATGTCATTTGACAAAATCGATCTTTGCAAGTACTAGCCCCACCCACCCACCCTGTGTTTCCTTGGAAGATATGTTATTTGCTAAAATCATTCTTTTCTTAGCAAGTACTAGCCCCGCCCACCCGCCCTTCGTTTTCTCGGAAGATATGTTATTTGCCAAAATCATTCTTTTCTTAGCAAGTACTAGCCCCGCCCACCCACCCTTTGTTTTCTCGGAAGATATGTTATTTGCCAAAATCAGACTGCGACCACGGCCAACTGTATTAATTAATAGAGTTGGCCGTGCTGCGACTAGCTTGGAAAATGAAGTATAACTTCTTGCACAAGTTAATGAGAATCCTCATATGGGAGTTATGGGACAAACTGCTATTGCTAGACAAATAAATAAATTTCATCCTAACCGCTTTAACCATCTGCACCTGGAGCATGCACTTCGACCCACAAACCAACCACAAAGATTGGTCGGTTTTCTCGTTATTATCGGAAGAATGCATAGGCATTTTTCTGACACTGACGTTTCTATGGCATTTATAAGCAAACTTTGATACAATTCAATTTTGAAACATTTTTTGTAATCCAGGTTCAGGTGGAATCGGTATTTTGGGTTGCCTATTTTAAAAACATAAATGGGTCATCTTAGCTGAATAGCCCTGTTTTAAAACAACTATTACTTAGAAATTTGTGGTATAACTCCAAATATAATCATAATTTATGCTTCTGAAATTAAATCACAGCTTGTTTCGCTCATACTCTTTTTATTTTATAGCAACGTATTAGCATTAGTTTTCAAAAGTTACAACAATGAAGTGTGCATTTTTGTTTGCCACAAAATGTGCTCCTAATGAGTGTTCTGTGCTTTTAAGGAGGTAATTAATTTTACAAAATTATGAAAACGCCTAGGATCAATAAATTACTGAACTGTTCAATATTAAACCGTTCAAAATCAAAACGTAAACATAATGAAAACTTTTATGAAATGTTATTTTCATTGAATCATGGGAAAAAAAACAGGCACATAACATCTCATACTTAGATTCGTTTTATACCAACACATAACACACCAAATGATTAATTTTAATACAACAATAACATTAAAAATAATAGTAACTATTATTATTATTGCTAAGAATTAAGGAGTAAGGTTGAAGCAAGGCATTATTTGCATGCAATCGCACTAAAGGAAGTGGATAAAAATTACTTACGAAAAGCCTTGCCAACTTCGAGTTAAATTAAATAAGTGAAGGTATCGTATCTAGACGTGTTTCAATTTAATAATAATAACAACCCACAGGTGCCGGCGATTTATTGTAGGTATACAACATGCACCACTCAATACCGTGGCTTCCTACTGTGTGAAAACCTATTATCCTATTAATTTTAACAATCCCGTTACAGTAAAATCAATTATTTCGACGTGATTTATCAGTCATAATTATTTAAGTATTGTAGTACGATCTATCGGACGAATGGTTACTCTCATGCTCATGTTTTCTTGGGGTTTCATGACCCCCAAAGTGCGAAAAAATAGATAGGTATCCTGTCAGCCGTCTATCCGGATTTTTATTAGACAGATCTCTCCAAAACCACTGGCCTGATTGTTGTCAAATTTTGTACGTATGTTAGGAATATCATGTAGATGGTAAAACGCTAACCAAAATTTGTCTGACGTCCATGACATCATCTCCAAATTTTGCAATTTTAAATGTTTTTTCAATTTTATAAAATAACGCACTCCTCCATTTGCGGTTTATGACTCCGTGCTGAGTTTTTCGCTTAGGCATCCACATTTTTGGAAAAAAATCAAAATTGTATAACAACATTTTACAATTTAACTTTGAAATTGCATAATCGAATGCTCTGAAATCTTGTAAACATTTTAAGATTATCGGAAACATGGTAAATCATTAATCAAAATTTATCTGTTCATGTCCTCTTCCCCAGAAATTGACGATGTCATCTTACAATTTTGTCGATTTTGTTCTTTGGTAGTAAAGTAAGGAAGAAATTTGGTGGTAAAGTAACATAATCTTAAACTTGTGGTTTATAAATCAATGTTGGTTTTTCGACTTTTCGTTTTTGAGGTTTTTGGTTTTTCAATTTTTCGATTTTGCAATTTTCCCATATTTCAGTTTTTTAGAGTCATTTTTCGGTTCTTCGAGATCTCGTTTTTATTTCATCGATATTTTAATTTTTCAAATTTTTGAATTTTAGAGTTTTCAGTTTTTTTGATTTTTCGATCTTTCGATTTTTCAACTTCTCGGTTTTGGATTTTCTGGTTTTTCAATTTTTCAATGTCTTAAAATTTTTGATTTTTCAATTTACCTTGTTTACATCGAGAAAAGTAAGCGACTTAAACACGTTTAGGCGGCTTAAAACTACCGATAAAAACGCAACTGGATTCAAATTAATCGAGTTATTAAATGCTCTGGTCCAAACCAAAATTTTAGTAGGATTGGACCTACTCCGTGGATTGGAGTAAACAAAGCGGCTTAGACGCTGGGATTACAAATGATGTTCGTCTAACTTTATGTTATTTACATGTCTATTTATATGATTATATCGAAAAATCGAACAATGGAAAAATTCAAAGATCGGAATATCCATAAATTAATTATTAAAAATAAAACATTAAAAAAAATCGAAAAACTGAGAAATCGAGAAATCTGAAAATTGAGAAGTTGAAATATTTTAAAAATTCAAAAACCGAGATGTCAAGAAATCGAATTAAAAAATCGAAAAGTGTAAAATTTAAGAAATCGAAAAATCCAGAAATCGAAAAATCTAAAATTTAAAAATCTAAAAATTGAAAAACCGAAGAATCGAAAGATCGAGCAATCGAAACATAAAAAAAATCGAAAAATTAGAATATATGGAAAAATTGAAAAATCGAGAAATCTGAAAATTGAGAAGTCTTGAAATTTTAAAAATTGAACAATCGAGATGTCAAGAAATCGAATTAAAAAATTCAAAAAACAGAAATTTCAAAGAACTGAAAAATCCACAAATCGAAAAATCTAAAATTTAAAAAATTGAAAACATAAAATATCGAAAATCTGAAAAATTAAAGGAACAAAAAATTTAAAAATCTAAAACTTGAAAATCATCTAAAAATCGAAAAGTCAGAAAATCGACAAACCGAAAATCCAAAATTAAAAAAATTGAAAGATCGGAAAATTGAAAAACCTAAAAATCGAGAAACTGAACAATTCCCAAAGTGAAATGACGAAAACTTGGAAAACCGAAAAACTGAAAAATCAGAACATCGAAAAATTGTACAACTGAAATATTGAATAACGAAACATCAGAAGATCGAGAAAAACTGAAAATAAAAAAATCGATAAATCGAAAAACTGAAAAATCGAGAAAATGAACAGTCGAAACATAGACATCGAGATAAATCATGAAATTAAAATTATTACCATGTTTATAACGTACTAGTTTAAGCCACTTGATAGAATGAATCTCGCTTTTCGAGTTTGCCTATTTATACCGAGTTTAGTTTGGTTGAAAGTGACGAATAATGATAGACAGTTATATTCTCTTTGTCATAATAGTGCTCTAACTTCACTCATGTTATTATTATCTGTTAAACTCTAAAGTGAATGGAATGCAAAATCAGCAAAACATAAGACACGATAAAATGTAGTAGTATAAATTTACAAAATTTCAAAAATCGGAATTGTATCTAAAATATGCAAAATATGATGAGTCTATACTACTTGTGATTTATCATTGAATTCATATTTTAAAAAATTGCTTATAAAGAGTGACTAAAAAAAAATATGAATTAGTCAATTTACCTTATTGATTAAATCAGGAATAGCTCACTCCATTTTCAAATTAGGAATACAATTCGAATTAAACGTCACCTATCCAAAAATTTTGATGATGTCATTACAAAATTTTGTAAAGGAAAAACTCATTTGAAATATACACGTAGCACACTTCTGTACATTCACTTTTACATTACATATATATCTTCGTTTTAACTTAGAGGTTCTCATAAAAAATCAAAATTCGTAAAATCAATTTTATAGTTTTTCGAAAAAACTGGATGTTTTATTGTACTTCAGGACCGAGGGAAGTTCTGTCCAAATAACCTCCAACCGTTTTTTTTTAAGTTGGTGAATAGAAAGGAACCAAGTTTATTAATTTAGGTAGTTCTAAATTATTGCGTAATAAATCCTCTTTGCACATACTTTCCTATTTCCTCATTTCTGCTTATTGCGTAAGTTTCCGGAACGCTGGTTTTAGTTTTATATCATTTTAGTTACAAGAAATTAGAAAAGAAACTTTATTTAGAAAAATACAGTATAAAATCTACAAAATACATCACACAACCTGAAATAATTTTAGAGAACTACATCTTCATAGTCTATTTAAGTAACGCTAACGTCATGTACGCACATCAGTTGACCTACTAAAATACAGATATATATTCTACAAAGACTGACATATAGATACAAAAAATATACTTTACCTTCGAACCCGTAATTAACTTTTAATGCAATACTAGTCATATTCTTCAACAAAAAATAACGCTCAGATAATTAAAAGTGTATGTCCCTGCAAATGATACTATGAAGTGTAGCGTTTGTGAATATATATTTTTTCTTATCTATAATCAACAACTTTTAATTCAACAAATTTATAGCCAATTTTTTTTTTGTTAAACAAAATGTTGAGTTCTAAATTTAGAAAATCAAATACTATAAAACAAAACTTCAACCACCATGAAAACTTTAACCACAACAAAAGTTATAATACTTAAAGTAATTGTAAACGCACCACCGTCACACAGCCCATAAGACCATCTACCACTAGGTGTTACAAGAAATTACTACAAGTTATTGCTTGAACAGCTCATCCTTATTTTCCATAACATGTTTGTATCCCAAAGCTGTCACAAACCCTATTGTGAATATGAAAGTGTGAACCAAGCACACCTTCCAGTTGAAACCTGGCCACTTTTTCAGCAACAAATTTAATAATTTTAATTTTCCTTCAGAATACGGCGGGTATCTAGCAGAGCCCAAAGTTTCGCCTATGAATCCCAAATCTTTGTATAAACAACTCTTCTTATGTGAAAATGTATCAAAGGTATACTTTGCATGATAACTTCCCATGCCACTTAAACCAACCCCTCCAAATGGCATATCAGTCGCCATGTGCATTATAGTATCGTTAACAAGAACTCCCCCAGAAGAAGTATTATCAATCAGCAACTGCACATCTTTTTTGTTGTTTGAAAAAATATAAGAAACAAGAGGTTTCTCCCGAGAATTAATAAATTTGACAGCCTCATAGGCATCATTTACTGTAACAATAGGCAGAATGGGACCGAACACTTCCTCTTGCATAACTTTGTCATCACGTTTTACGTCAGTTAAAATAGTAGGTTCCATGTAACGTTCAGCAGCATCAAAACGTCCACCGACAGCAGGTTTATGATTTTGCAATAAACCAACTAACCGTTGAAACTGTCGATCACTGACAATACGTCCTAAATCAGGTGACTGTTTTGGATCGTCTCCATAGAAATCTCGCAGTACTTGGCCAGCGCACTCTACAAATTTATCACGCACATCTTTTGTGCAAATTAAGTAATCTGGTGCAACACATGTCTGGCCAGCATTAACACATTTACCCCATATTATTCGCTTCGTCGCAACTTTAAGATTTGCTGTTTTGTCCAAGTAGACGGGGCTTTTACCCCCTAGTTCTAACGTGACTGGAGTTAAATTTTTATTTGCAGCTGCATGAACAATCTGTCCAACACTAGTGGAACCGGTGTAAAAAATATAGTCAAACTTTTCTCGCAGAAGTTGGGTGGTTTCTGGAATTCCACCTTCAAACACCTGATAACAATCACTATCAAGATATTTGGGAATTTTCTCAGCTATGAACTTTGCGCTAGCGACTGCAATCTCTGAAGGTTTAATGACAACACAATTTCCAGCTGCTATGGCCCCTGCCACTGGCAGTAAGGTGAGCTGAATTGGGTAATTCCAGGCACCCATTACGAGGACAACACCGTACGGATCGTTATAGACGTACAATGAGTCGAGTAAATTCACGAATTCTTTAGGAGGGCGTTCAGGCTTCACCCAATTTTTTAAATTACTGATGGTATTCTTTAAGTCATTGATAAGATACTGTGTTTCCATTGTAACTGCCTCTTGTTTGCTTTTGTGTAAATCTGTTGCTAGAGCTTGAAGCATCTCATTAGTATTTTCTTCATACAGCCGAAGTAAAGCCTTGAGTTGCTTCAGACGATACTCCACGGGTTTCGTCTTGCCACTATTGAAAGAATTACGTAAAGTCTGCACCATTTCCGATGGATTTACCATTTTGAAATATTCTGATTAGATATGGACAAAAGTCGGATTAGGGAATTACTAATTAGGCAGTAAAAATTAATACTTACGTTAGTCAAACACAATTACAAAGTAACAACACAACAAACACTTTGAGTTAATTGACAAGTAATAATTTTCTAGTTCATTAACACCGACAATGATGATATTAACCACGAATTCAGTGGGATGCACTTCGAGACTAAAACGAGTTGATATGTTTTATGAAGGCTGTTGACTTTTGATAGTGAAAGCGCTAAAATTAAATTTCAGTTGATGGTATAACATAATAAAATTTCACTGGTTGTGTAAAAGTTGGGGGTAAACAGAGGTCACACACAAGAAGAATTCACTTAGAATTTCTACGGTAAGCCTATTACAACACCGATAAGTTGGTTCTTGAAAATTGGATAAAATAATCTCATAATATCGATTTTTGGTTATTACTTATAGTGGCAGTCGACGCACATTCGAGATAAATAAACACAAACCATTTCAGCAATTACACAACTATGAATTTGCATGTTAACGCTTACCTTTTAGTAAAACATTGATAAAACAAATCCGCCACAAATCTAACCTCTTTTTCTATTTTAAAATGTGTCTATCTGATAAAGCCCTTGGATGAACTGTCATCTGTCAAAGTCACGTATGTTCATTAGCGTTGACAGTTTGTTGTAAAGACATAAACCTAAGTTTTATGGTTGAAATAGTTCTTATTTTAATGTAAATATATTTCTCAAATAGTACTACAATGAAAATAATAGTGAAGGGAATCCGTGGGGGCAGTTGTGTTGTCGATGCCCAAGAGAGCACCACAATCCTGGAACTGAAGAAAAAAGTAGCCACTGATATCAACATTCCAGTGGCACAACAGACGATGGTTCACTTTGGAAAGACTTTACAAGACGACAAAACAGTAGGATCATACCCAAAAATCAAAGATGGGGCAAAACTCTACGTTGCTGTAAAAAAACCCGATACACTTCACTCAGCATTAACGCGTTTTCTTCGCCAGTATTACTCCGATCAACAGTGCAGCGTAATTGTGGATGAATTCATGAAAGACTTTCAAAACAAAGTGAATAACTTGAGTCTTGATGATTTAGAGAGGATAGCAAAAGCAGACATGGACAACAGCGCTTGAATCTCGCCGACTTTTTTTGTACCTCGTAAATAATAAACTATTATTACATGTATTTTATTGTATAAACTAACTATATGTTCTCCAATTCACTCGGAATCGGAATTTTATTATTTATTGCAAACTTTTTCAGTGCTTCATATCGTGTACGTATCCCATTTACTTCTTCTTTCATGTGTTTAATATCATCCTGCATGGTTTCCATATCACGCCATTCTTGTGTTTTTTCCGTTTCCAATTCGTCCTTTTGTTCGATTCGTTTTATACGACATGAGGCTGCATATCCTCGGTTTTTTAAGGTACGTCTTCGTTGTTTCATCCGAACGATATCTTCACGAGTTAAACCCCGTAACTTTAACTGGCGGTTCAAGTCTCGTACGGAAATTGTGACCAACTCATCGTCAGATATATCCAGTATTGGCCCCGGAGAAAGAGGAGGCTACAACGTACCAACTGTTGTATATTTACACAAAAATTAGGTTAGGCCACTTACCAAACTCTTTCTATCAGGTTTACGTTGGTCCTGTGGCATTTTTACGTTCCTGGTTATTCTAATCAGGTAAATGCGTCACAAATAAAAGCTGAATTCGCCAAAAAGTGCAAGTCATCTTTCCAATCATTATGAACTCCCTGGAACAATCTGTGACATTTCCGAATATATTATCACGTCAAGTTGGCAGCTTTCACGCGGTAATTTTAAATTTTTCGTATCAAAACTAAATTATGGGCACCAAAGACCATGAAGAATTCAAAAATGCTCTTCGAGATATTGCTCAATATGCACATAAATTAGACAGCTCCTTTGGTAAGCCTCATCATCTTGATGTCACTTAACAGTGTTCATTAACTCAAAATTTGTGTTCATTTTTTAAAGTGCATACAAATTCAAATTAGTGACATTTTAGATCGAGTACGATGTGCCGAATGGGTGCGGAAACTCGCCGGAATGCCTGATGATGATCTCGAAGCGGCGAAAATGCGAAACGAATACGCCCAGTTTCTCCGTATCCAAGTCTGCAACGGTTTCTTGCATTCTCCGTTTCAAACTAAACCTCCAATCAACAACTTAATTTCTCTTTCCGAACGTTTGGGTGACATCATGTCGAAACAAATTCCCGACTTACCCAAGGCTGGGCCCATTCAACCCGTTATCCATCACCGTTCCCCCGATGGACGTGCCTACGTTTGCGCTAAACAAATTCCCGGAGGTGTCTTATGTTACTTGGCAGTTAGTCCCGACGGACTAGGATTAGACTAATGACATTTATTGAATTACAAAAACAAACCATTATAAGCTAAATACAGTTAATAAACAATTTAGTCATCAAAACTGATCAATTCTGCAGTCCTTGTTTCCCTTTTTTCGATTTGTTGGGGTGGTTGCTGCTGGAACTGTCCCGGTGGTGGCAACACCGGATTCTGGGGCGGAGCTTGCATGGGAATCGGCCCCGGTCCTGCCATGGGGTTCATCATTGGTTGGTTATTCATTTGCGGAACACCATAATTTGGCATCTGGGGTTGAAAGTGAGGTTGCGGTCCAGGAGGTGGCATTTGTTGTGGCATGCCTGGGTGTCCCATCGGCGGGGGATTTTGTGGCATCATAGGCCCGTATTGGTAATTGTGATATGAGGGGATACTTTGAGGCGGAGCGCTGTTTGGAGGAGGCTGAGACTGTGGTTGCGACTGCGGCTGGGGTTGAGGAGAAAACTGGTTCCCTCCCATGTAGCCCATTAAATATTGTTGTTTTTGATGCTCTTGTCTCATTTGCATTTCTCTTTCTTGTTCTTGTATGCGCTGGAGAGCCAATTGTCTCTGGTACTGCAAATATTCTTGCTTTTTCTTTCTCATGATTTCCAGTTTGTGTGCCATTTGGAGCTGGCGTTGTCTCTCCGCTTCTTCAGCTTCTCTCCTCAATTTTTCACGATGTTCATCTCGGAGGTCATCTAGAGCGGCTCGAGCGTCTTTAACTTGAGTCAGCTTATCTTGAAGACGTTCGTAGTGTAAGCGACTGTCGTCATGCTGTTGGATGTATCGTAGAAGTTTGGAATGCATAGCAGTTATGTTCATAAACAGTGTCTGGATGCTAGTATCATTGGCAATGGAACGTCCTCTGCTCGAGTTACCTTTCATGCGGTTAATAAAGATCTCCACTTGAGATTTTAGAGTACTTATGAAGTCTTCCAGATCAGTATCAACTACTCCATTTTCTTTTTGCTTAGGTTTGACTTCGGTAACAGGAGCGGTTGCTGGAGCTGAGGGACTGGCAGCTCGTACTTCTGTAGGTTCAGTTTGGTTAACAGACTCCCAGTATGAACGGTTTAGATATCTGGCTAGCTCTGGGTTTGTTGCTTCTTCGACCGGCGAAGGACTGCGTTCAACAGGTGCTGCAAAAAAGTAATACAAGTAATAATTTATCCTATCAAAAATAGTAGATAAATATACATACGGATACATAATCTATAAAATATAATGACCTTTTTTCGTTCTGTTGTGAACCCGTTAACATGTGCCAAATTAACTAAATCCGCCAATTGGATGAAGTCAATTGACCTACACAAGTTAAGCTAAGCTAAGTCGTCTTTCGTTTAGAAATAAATTATATCGCTATGAAAATGAAAGGTTGAGGATTTTTGTGCATCTCAAGATTTAAATTTTATTTTTAAATTTCGGTACGTGGTCTTTCTGCGAAAGCATCGATATAACATAGTGGCTCTGGTTATTATGTGACGTTGAATCAAGTTACAACAGGTAGGAATTAAACGTAAATTATTATTTGCGACACGCTATAAATATGTGGTTTCAAAGGGCTGAACTAGTTAAATTTGATACAAAGTGGGTAGCGAGTGATTACTCAATATCTGATGAACAAAAGAAATGTTTTTAAATATGTACTTGTCTAAAATTTATTTCCTTTTGAATTCAAAATCCCGGAATACCAAGGCAGGTCATTTGCCAAAACCTGTCTTATATTAGCAGGTACTAGCCCCGTCCACCTGCCCTTTATTTTCTTAGAGGGTAGTCCATTTGCCAAAACAATTCCTATCTTAGCAAGTACTAGTGCCACCCACCCGTCCTTCTAATTCTAACGACTAATTTTATTTCTGTTCAGTATAAGATCCATCATTCATTCTGACCACATAAAATCAATCATTGAAATCGAAGCGGGGTGGGTGGGCGTGGTTAATTAGTTTCTTCTGTACTGTGGGAGTAGAAACTAATTGAATCTAGTATGTGAAAAAAATAAAAAAGACACTAATCATAACTCTTTTGTTATACTATTTGATATAAGATTAATAAGCAATAATCAGGAACACCCACCCGCCCCCTTTTCGTGTTAGTGACTAGTCTTGATATTATTGATCAATGACAACCTTATTATCTTATCAGAATCCTACGCAAATCCACTAAACTGTTGGTGAGAAAATAGATACATTGTTCAACAAGGTATCTAGAAAGTATTAAACTGGTATTAAATTAACATACCATACGTGGGAAACATATTTAAAAAACAATATAACCAATACTCCTCCCACTAGCACTCGCCCCACCCATCTTAATAAATCGTTTCATTAGCCCGGAGAAGATGGGCGGCGTTTGTAATTGTGTCTACTTTATATGATTTTTATTATTTAAATGTAAACACTGACGCCAGTCATTTTTGGAAAAAAATAAAATAAAAATAAAATAAAATATAGTAAAAAATGAAATTAAAAAAGTCACCCTAGATTCTCTTGTTTGTCAATATAAAAATCAACTTTCGTCGTAGAGTCAATACAATGAGTTATCAAAACGAAATAGGGGTGGGTGGGCGGGGCCACTTTCGACTTTGTAAGTCTTAGATTTTATCGCTTGTTAAAATAGAATTCAATTCTCATTTTATAGTAAATCCAGTAAGTCAGTGAAATGGATAAAGGCGGTGGACGGGACTGAGTTTAAGCTTTTTTCTACAGAGTCCTATAACCAAACAGTGGCAGGTAAGAAATTTAAACAGCTTGGAAAATAAAATACAAAATATAACATTACTGTTTTGATATTTATTATTATTCTTTGTCTAATTGTTATTAATTTGCCATATATTAGATATTAGCTTTATAAAAATGTCTGTTAGAAAAAAAAATGCTTTTCGGTCTATATCACAGAAAAATAAAAATGAGAATACAGGCAAGGTGAAAATTATAAGAATTTTTTTGGGAAATACTTAAAGCCCCATCTTTTCCATACGTAAGAAAAAGATAAACATAAAAAACAAAGAAACGGATCAGGAAGACGATCTGGGGATTTAAGAATTCTGTTCCAGGGAAATATATACTACTTAAATAAGAGATTTCTTTGTTGCAAATGGACCAATTCAAGTCCAAAAAATTGGTTTAAGGTTATTTAGACAGAATCTCCCTCGCCCCTGAAGTATAACGCACTTACAACATATCTAGCTTATTCGAAAATTTATAAAATTTGATTTTGCGAATTTTATTTTTTTATGATAACCCCTACTCCTATAAGTTAAAATAAAGACATGTGAAATTCCGTGATGACATCAACATTTTACCAACGACACATAATATATCAATTTGGATATGTGTAGTGTAATATTAATAATAACAATACTCTAGCCCTACATTTTTTGGAAAATGGGATGAGTCATTCTTGATTTAATCAATAAAATAAAAAATTGCCTCATTCATTGCTTTTTTTGAGTCAATCTGTATAATTAATTCTGAAAAAATTGAATGCATTAATAAACAACAAGTGTAAACGTTATCAATTTTTACAAGATTTCACAGCATTCGGTTTTGCCTTTTCAAAGTTAAATTTATTGTAAAATGTTATACAATTTGATTTTTTTCACAAATCTAGATGTTTAGGGTAAAAATTACCAGTGACAGTAACAGTTTTTATAAAAAATTATAAAGTAGACAAGATAGTTTAGAAAAAACAGTTTTTGAAACCCAAAATAAAACATAATCAAAAAGCAAAAGGGAAACTGAGAAAACGTGATGAAAAGCAAAAAAATACGAGTAAATAACACCACACAACACGAAGATAAATAAACACTGTGGCATCCTGAATTGAAAAATTCAATTTCGCGCCGAGAATAAGAAAATAATGTCGCGAAACCACATTTGAAGAAAACATCCAGTAACACATGTTTTGGTATGTTTGGGGAATGGTGAAAAAAATTTCACCTTTAAGTTGGCAGTTCTAGGGAATTTTATAAGACAGGGCAGATAGAATCCTAAAAAGTCACTCACTTCTTGTTTTTGGCGGCGTCATTTCTTGTTTTAAGTGTACTGAATATGTTCTTCTTGTAAAATTATTTTTGAAGTAAAATTCTACAGATTTCTTTACCCCATGCACAAGCCACATAAATTGTTGATTTTTGCTTGTTTGTTCAGCGATTATAAAACTATTGTCCTGGTTTTACATACAGTCGGGGTATATTTAAAAATCACGTTAAACCTCTAACACTAAAAAAGTTCTTAACAATGTAGATACAACTCGACAAGACTTGTCAAACATATAAAACAGGGAAAGAATTTCTTCCAGTAATGAATTAGAAAAAGCTTTAATGATAAAACAAGCCTCATGAAGGAGTCGAGTATTTACAAATTTAATAGTGTTGCTAGTGTGTATGTAAAGTTACTGTTCTATTTTAAACGTCTGTTATGGAAAAGTAACTACAAAACGCCTATTAGATTTAAAAAATATAGAAAAATAGTAACAATTGAATTGAATATACACTGTACAGTGATGTCCTTAAGGAATGTTATAATTTATGAGCACATAGTGCAGATACCCTCACACTAAGTACAGTCACAACAAAACTCACCTTTGTAAGTATTAACCATTTTAAACTTCTCCTTTTCTTTTTCCTTTGCTTCCGCCTCTGACTGACTGATAGCCAACGCCAACTGCAATTCCTCTTCTTCTCTCAACTCATCTTCAGTCTTCCTTGGTGGCGTTTGACTCTGCTGAGCCAAAGAGCTATTCAAATATTCAGGAGGCAGCTCGGTCTCTTGCTTTTCAGCAGCGGCCTTGCTCGCTGCACTAGGTTTAGTTGCCAGATCATAACAAGCGTCGCAAACGCGAACTTCTTTCTCGATGCCGTACTTAGGCAACGTAGTAGTCTTCTGGCTACACTGATGACAGAAAACTTGGCCACAAGCTCGGCAATGATGTTTACGTTGCAGTATACTAAAAGCGGTGCGACAACGATGACAAACGTCCCCGTCTGCCCATTCTGGAGCCGAATCGGCACTGAACATTGCGTCAGATTCGCGGAAAGCTGGAAATTTAAAACCATCGGATTTCATCAACATCATGGTGTCTTTGAGGGCTGTATGTTTGGCGCTCTTTCGGAAAGCGAAGTTCCAGGCTTGGATTAATTCGAGGAGCTTTTGACGAACAGTCTCGTGGACTGTCGTTTTGGCCAACTCGAAAAGAGTGTCGCAAAAGGGGCGAGTTGTTAGTTCTTCATGAAGGGGGTATCCTGTGGAGTACCAAAAAATTAGTCGGGTTCAATAACAAGTAATACAATTAAGTGTGTTAGAAATATATACATAAATTAATAAGAAACAGGTTTATAATTCTTCTGGTTTCCTTCTTTACTTTCAATTAAATCTTCTTTTATACAAATAATAATAACAATAATAATAAGAAATATGTGCAATATTATATATTGTACACCTTTTGAGTGGGGTATTGTGGTGTTTTGTTTTGAAAATTGTTTACTTTCTAAGATCATTAACATTGTTCACATGAGTGGCACAAACATGCACACAACCATAAATATATGGTGATATTTCTACAATCTAGCCGCTATTTGCGTAACCTGTAGTAGTGAGATGATATAAAATTTAAATTGGATGAACTTATTAACATGACCTAGCATATTACCATTTGTTTAGAGGTAAACAAATTAGCGACATATCGAACTGATACCTTCTTATCAATCCATTATTTTGAGATTGTTTTTTTAAAACAGATACTTAGTTTATATTAATATAAAAAAATTACCGTTCAATTCTAGGACAGAACAATTTGTTTCGTTTAATACTCGAACTATTATCTGTATAATTTATAGAGGATTTTCGATTCATTTATAATATTACGTAATCCAGGCATACCTTGACTTAATAATCTAACCTTTGTACACTTGAATTTTAGAGCACTTTTTATATTTGTTGGTATATTCATTTAATCATTAACAAAAACTGCATAAAAACAGGTTGAGGAGAGCATCTTTAGGCGTGTAATATGTATTTATTGTTGAAGTTTAGATGATATGTAAAATCATCATCAAAGTGCAGAATAAATATTCGGAATGAGAAAATTAAGGGTGATTCGTTTTTCAAATTTTCTTTTTTCTTTTATAATCGGAAATAGTAATCAAAATAAGACTGCATGTACTTATGTTGAAATCTATATGTTAACAAAATAAGTAATTCTAGATTCTGAAAAACATTGAGATTTCAAAATATCAATGAAATTAAAAAAAAAAGTCCAAGTTATTTAAGGGTCCCCAGTCGTCGCCCGCAAAATCGGTTCCAACGAAAAGAATTATTTTTTGTAACTATGCAACCCAAAGTACCGACCCAAAAACACGAGAGATTATGATCACTGTAGGGAGTCCGTCATAAAATGCAAATCGGTAAACAACACCAGATAAGTTTTTTTATTTTCAAATGAAGGGTACAGGGAAATAACCATCGATATCCATTTGTATGTATTTTGAAAGAAATTGATTTGAAAGTTTAAAATGCTGCGGAAAATAGATTGAGAAACTCACAAGGTTCAGTCTAACACAACTTTTTATTTTCTTTATGTTTTAAAAATATATAAAATAAACTGTTTATGTTCAAATCTAACAGCAAAAAAAATTGGTGGAAAGTTGTTTCGACCGAACTTCCCTCGCACCTAAAATACAATGAAACATATCCAGCATTTTCGAGTTAAATTTTTACTTTAGGTACAGTATTTCCAAAATTTCTGGGAAAATGGAGTGAGTCGTTCTTGATTTAATCAATAGAATAAATTGAATCATTCATTAATTTTTTTGGGCCACCTAGGTACATAAGCAAATCTAAAAAATATGAATGCAATGATAAATTACAAGTAAAATCTCATCATATTTTGCACATTTTTAGTAGAATTTATTCGGCAAAATTTTGAGATGACGTTATCAATTTTTTAGTAGCATTATCCTGAACTTGTGGTTTATAAATACATTATTGAGATTTTTCGGCTTTTCGGTTTTTCGATTTTTCAACTTTTGATGTTTCAATTTTTCAATATTTTAATTTTTGACATTTTCAATGTTTCCATCCTTCAAATTTTCGATTTCTTCATTTTTTTATTTTTCGATTTCTCAATTGTCCGATGTTTCAATGATACGATTTCGCAATTTTTCAACTTTTCGATATTTTAATTTTTCAATTTTTAAAATTCTAGATTTTTCGATTTGTCGAGTTTTCAGTTCTTCTATGCATATTTCAGTTTTTCATTTTCGGAATTCATTAAATTTCTGATTTTCCGTTTTTTTTTTTTAATTTTTCGATTTTTCAGTTTTTCGATATTTCGATTTTTCAATTATACGATTGTTCAATTTCTCGATTTCTAAATTTTAGATTTTCCAATTTTTTTTTTTTTATTTTTTCATGTTTGGACTATTTATTATTGCTAAAATTAAAAGTAAAAAATAACTACCAAAATTGTGTACTAAACATATGTAAAAATTAATAGAAAGTAGAACACATTGCTGCTAAAACATAAAAATAACTGTACTTTCCCAAAAAAATCTATTGCATGATTACTAGAGATGTACCGACTGTAGGTCTGGCCGACTAACCGACTAGCCGATTGTTCGTCCAGTAAAAACCGACTAGTCGGCCGACTGTTCGGCTTTGCTAAAACCGGTTTATAAATGCGATAGACAGTGTGTTTTTTTTTCTATTTCTCTGACTACTTTAAAAATTTGTTTTATTTTAATAAAAGGAATAACTAAACTTCCTTTGTTTTCCAAAAAATGTATTAAATTTGTTTGGATAATTTTAACATTTAATTTTTTGTAGTAACTCAGTACAAAACTTGAAAAATTGGAAAATCACAACGTTAAAAAACCTAAAAATTGAAAAAATAAAGAAAATAAAAACTCAAACGAAAAATTCAAAAATTAAAAATCGAAAAATTCAAAAATGGAAAAATTCTAGCATCGTAGAATTGAAAAAGTGAAAAATTTTAAGTCATAATTATTATTATTATTATGCAAATCAAAAATTGAAGAAATAAAAATTGAAAATCGAGAAACTGAAAAATCTATAACTGTTTTATAGTGAACCAAGAGTTATAAGGTTATATGGCCATCATAAAATCATCCCATTGTGTCGAAGTTAAGTTGTTTACAATAGAAAAGGTTTTAGGGTCGTCAATAACGTGTCCACTGCAGCTCGACCGGCTCTTGTGGTTTCGTTCAGGGGCGGCTTTCACTAAATATGAAAATCCACCACTACACTTATAGCTCTTGGTTCACTATATACTCGTATACTATTTTAATTTTATAAAAAAAGCCGACCGATCGGCTGATTAGCCGACCAGTCGCCGACTGCCAGCCGACGATGCAAAACGGCCGAATAGTCGGCTTATCCGACCGGTCGGCCACTAGTCGGTACATCCCTAATGATTACTGTTCCACTAGTATTGCTAATTTAGGACGTTAGTATCAAACGCAATGAAAGTATTAATTCCTTAGATCATATAATAAATAGATACCAATACTCAAACTGAAAGGTGTGACTAGACATGAAGCTATCTGTTGTCGTTTTCTACGTCCAGGGGAGTAGTATAATGCTATCCTTGTGTGATCACCACATCTTCATCTTTGTTATATGCATTTCATCTGTATATGTCTATTTCACTTCCATCCTTGTACCGCACCAGCGCAACAAATCGCTTTTGACAGATGTTTCTTCTAACCTCTCTTTCGAGTTGTACAAAAAACAATTTTAGAATTTAGAACAAAGATCCTATTTTAAGTGATGTAGTCATAAAGGATCACAATTGCTGTCCAATAATTTACTATTGCTTTCGTTATCTACTGTGAATTATTTATAAAATCAAGCTGTCAACATCTTTCTTCCGAAGTTAGTTCAGACATACTTCCTAAAATTTAGGCGCGCAAAATTCAAATAGTGATCAGGCAAGGATAGCTTCATTGTAATCCCTCCATGCACGAGAGAGATGTGTGACAGGAGGATGTCGTCACAGGCTGTCCTAGGGAAAGAACACGGCATGGTGGTATCTATTTATTATATGATCTAAGATTAATTCTTAGTTAAACAAAAAAATAGTTGCATGTCAAAATCGAGTGAAACATATGAGATGTGTGTAAACAAAAGCATCTAAATAATAACTATTTCCCGCAGAATTTCTGGAGGCTTATAGAATCGACATTGGCCTGAGCGCGCTCCGGTCTGTGGATCATACAAGTTCTCGGGCGACGATGTATCTAACGAGGCAGTTGAAATACCTGATATGTCACAGTGCAAAAAGTATTTCTCAAAAAACTTTCAAACGTTGATGTCTTTAATCGAACAAAACACAATTGGCGAACGCAATAATCCAAAATGGTGCGCAGAAAAATCCTTTAGACTAACCGAACGTTATTTTGGTAAAATTTGCAAAATGAGAGAACAAGTAACACGGCTAATCCTACTGTACTGTGAAAAACATTTTACATCCCTGCAAATCTCGTTCAGCATGTCCCATAATCTTTGCATAGAAAATGAAACAATGCGGTTTGTACATTTTTAGCGGCATCGCCAGACGGCTTAATAAACAAAAACGCTATCGTAGTAATATATAAAATGTCCAATTTAAATAATGCTTAATTCAACGAGATGATAAATTTTGGGAAAATAATATGATAGAGCCCTAGAAAATTTTTATTTATATGCCTTACTTCCGGAGAGAGTAGATTCTCGTTATTAAACAAGTCAACTGATTAGACAACTTGTAAAGAAAAAATTGTACAATTAAAATTTTTTATTTGCATTCGCGTCATGTGTAGTTCATATAAATCTGTTGCCCTTCTAGTATAAACACACACAGGAATAAATAGTAAAATTGGAATAGGTTTACTGGAGATATCACGTAAAAAACGTGCCTATAATACTCTACCTCATAGGTGGTGCGGAAAAGAGTATCAAAAAATTAAATTTAAATAAATATGATTGTTCAGGTAAATAGGTGGTTAGTGAAGTGATGATAATCTAAATCTTGTCAGTTTTGTGTATTGATTAATATATAAAATGGCAGATTAATAAAAAATATTTGAATAATTTTTTGAAAGAAAATATTTTAATAGAATGTATAAAATTATAAAAATTTGCATACTTTTAAATCAAATTATGTCAGTAATTAAAGAAGTCGACTTGTAAAAGAGTTTCAACAATGTGGGTCAGCCAAGAGTATTCATGAGTTTTATGACCTAAAGTACCTGAACTGATTACCTGTAAGGGTCGGTCGGCAAGGCTCCCTGCTGTGTAAAACTCAGCCATTTATTGAAACGGATCTTTGTAAATAGGGTTGCCTAGTTTCACTTTATTTTCATTATTCAGTATTTTTTTAAAACGCAAATATTTTGACAAATATAAATTTGAAACAACAATGACCGGGTCTTCCCCATAAAGCTCAATGTTGTCTTTGTACTGATATAAAAGTTGAAGCGAAAAATGCTCTCTCCTCGTCTAAAATGCAATTTCCTTCGAAGAGTGAACGATTAATTAAACACTAAATCACTTATTTTAAAAAATATTGTGTCTTCCCCAGAGATTTAGACATAATCTATCAATTGAAATGTCGATCGTTTTTTCAAAGTTGAAATTACGCCCGTAGAATGAAATTTTATTTAGCTCATTTTTCGGTCTGCTACTGGGCACCCTTAACACAAATTTCTTCGGGCCTGAAACACAGGCAAACAACTCCTATTTTTTCATGATAACGTTATCGATTATTGGTTATAAATTACAGTTAAAGAAGCATGTTATATGTATGTTTTAAATGAATTTTGCTTAACAAAATTTTATGGTGACGTAATACATTTTTAATAGGGACAAATATATCAGTTGTGATAGATAGATAGTGTTAATTATAATAGCAACGGTCTTTTAAAAATTTCAAGATTAAAAAAAAAAGGTATTTTATAAAATTTGAATAGCAATCAATTTGATTGTGTTATCCCCAAATGTTGCATATGCTATTTAAATTTTAGAAAATACTTCTGTAATTGTTGTTTATGAATCCGCATTGGTTTTTACCTTAGACACCCAGATTTTTGGAAAAACAACTGAATAAACCAATATGCTGAAAAATTATTTATTATAATCATGGTAAATCGTTAAACAAAATGTAACTGTTTATTCCCACCAAAAACTTGATGGGATCTTAAAATTTTCCTGAAAAAATCCTTTTTAAGATGTGTAGAATCGTATTCTCAACAGACTCGACTCGGGTTGCACGTGTCTACTTTGTAACTGACCTTCAAAAATTTCCCTATTGTAAGAGTACATGTTGTTTGTTCGCTGTAACGTGTTAATATGGTTTCTGGTGATATTTGTGAAGCCATTGACATTATACATATTTTTATACATAGTTGTCACTTGTTTATTGTTTTCAATTTCTATTCGTGAATCGTTACGCTATTTTCGTTAATTTTCTAAAGTACAATCCCAATTACGTAATTTTCAAAAAATCTAGATATGTATTTAACGTAAAGAATAAAAACCGATTCGTAAACTGCACGAGTATCAGTACGTAATTTTATAAAATTTAAATATTATGTACCTACATAGTATGGTTCGTCCTCACCGCTAGTATAAAATTTTAAAAATATGAATGTATAGGGTAAAAAATAAAAGCGGATTCATAAACTATAAGTGCATAAGTATAGTAAGTATAGACGGCTGTTATTTAATGAAATTTAAACAATTACCTTACACTCAACAAGTAAAAACTAAACGATGTTACTTCAGACGCCGGAGGAAGAAGAAAAGAGGAATAAAGGTGAAAGTGATTTACAATTGAAGAAGTCAAAACCACAGTTGTCAAAACTCACAAGGTATGTCATTTATGGTTAGAAGCTTTTACAAAAAAGTATTTAAGGCAAACTTAAAAAAAAAAACAGTATGCACAAATGAAAACAACTTTTATCAGATAAATGTCCGAGACAATAAAAACTATTATTCCGCCTAACTATTCGCTTATCTGCAGACAAACAGTAAATCCAACACCAAACATGAAACTTAACTTTACATGTGGTAAATAGAAAATAGTAATAAATATTGTAAGTTATGCAAAGTATGGTTTATGTAGCAAAATCAATGAATAAAATACAGCAATGAAGGAATGCTAGAAACTTTATCACACACGGGAAGAACGAACGTTCAGAGACACGAGGAAAGAATTCTCATATGCCTGTCTTTCAAGGTCATAATTGTACTAAAGGCTACAGGACATTAACTGTTACTCATACCTTCTGCTCTCACTAATCCCATCAATCTGTTTTGAATGACTCATAAATGACAAAAAAATAGATACTTAAACCGATACAAATTATTTTTAGAAAAATGACCTTCAATACTTACCACAATTTTTAACCATACTTTCAAGAACTAAAAGTGCATACAAAGCGGTGTGCTGATTTTGAGAAAACAGTTTCTTCTTGACAGCGGTGAGGGCATATTTTGGTCTAAAATAAAATTTGTTACCACACAAGTGGAGGTGTAAAATTATAGCATCTTACTGAACATCATTCTGACGAATTAAATCACATAATTGTAATATTGTAGGCCAATCTGGTTCCATAAGCAAATGGCTGGTGGCTTTGTCTATATTAATAAATTAGTTATTTGGATTCTAACAATATTGTACATGTCTTACCCAACAATTTGTCAAAATTACTGGAGGTACGAAACATGTTTAACGTTTACTGCGTACTTACTACGAAATTGAATACGTTACAAAAGATTATTTTCAATGTTGTTAGGTCTAATATTAACACTAGGTTTTATCAATAATGAATCATCAATGACAATGTCTTTCACAAACAGCTGATTTTGACATTTCCACGTATTCCATTGGCTATACAGCTGCTCTGTAGTTAATGTATCCGATTTTCGAATAGATGGCGTCCTTGTAAATTCATAACATGGCCAACTGCATTATCTATCCCGTTTTGAATAATGATTGATGACCTAGAGAAAATGGAGAGGAAAAAAAAACACATTTTGGGATCATTATTTTACTAATATATGTATTATTTTTACAAACTTACAAATCCAAGACAAAAGTAGGAAAATTATTATTCAATTTTTTAATGAATGAATGAGCCACTTCATAATCATAAAAAATTAATCTATTTCACCTAAATAAATTTGTTTGTCACTAGCTCCTGACACAACGATGGGTTCAGTAGGATGGAAATCCACGTCGTTAACACTTCCATTATGTCCAGGCAGTTTATAAACTATCCTCCTAGACGTAGTGTCCCAAATATACAAAAATCTATCAGCCGATCCTGCACTAACTTTTGAACCATCTTTAGACCACGAACACCTCAAAAGGTTTTTCTCAAAATTATGCTGGTGTCCTGTAAATACTTTAACACATCTTTCTTGTGGCGCATATGGTCTTACATCCCATATTCTCAAACTATTATCCATAGAATTCGAAAGTAAGTATGACCCATCAGGACTCAATGACAGTCCAGTGACTGTATCCGTGTGCCCTTTTAAAGTATAAATAATTTCATGATTCCGTATGTCCCAAACTTTGATGTCATTATCAATTCCTGCACTGAAAATTTGTTCCGCTGTATCATTAAACTCAACAGCAACTACCTGATAGTTGGAATTGAATGTAGTAATTGCTTGTTTTTTACGAATGTCCCATAGTTTGACTGTTGTATCATCGCTGCCTGATACCATTAGCTGTGGACCTCGTCTCGCTCCTTGTACTGAATTAACAAAAGTGGTGTGACCTTTGTATTTTTTAATCCGTTGACCCGTTGGTAGATCCCACAAACCCAAAGTATGGTCAGTGCTTGCTGTGAAAATGTTACTTCCATCAGGTGTGAAATGCAGTTCCATTATAGCCCCTGTGTGACCACTCATTACAGACAAGTTTTCGCATTCGCCGTAAACGCTCCATATAACTAAAATAATTGATTATTATTCAAATGATAATCAGAATATCCCTGAACAGAATAGCTTACATATCCTCCTATCGAAGCCTGATGAAGCCAAATACTGTCCGTCTGGATGGAACTCAACAGAAAAGATTTCGCCCTCGTGTCCTTCCAGGAGCATAATTGGTGCAAACAAGTTTGAAGTCCTTGCTGGGGCCTACAAGATTTTATTAGACATGTCTTTTTAATGTTGTAGATACACAAACCGCTTGCAAGACAGATTTGTTTTTATTGGACGTTGCCACTTCATTCCTGGCTTTTTTGATGACTGGAACCAGAGCTGATTCTTCAGCTCGACGTTTATTTTCAATAACCATCTTAAAGCTACACTGTTACTGACTATTCACAAAAAAATGTTACGGAATAAAACGCATAAACATAACCTAAATTACCACAACCCACAACCGTACACAACAAGGACACAAGTCGCGTCAGTCGCGTTTTCATTTACACTTCCACAGTACAACTCTGTGAATGTGAATACCACAGAACATTCGCTATGAATACACACACCATAGACAGGGCTATGAAAGTCTCAGCTGACTCCATAAGAAATACATGGGGAGCTTACGGAACGACATAAAGAGGTCACTGGCGTCACTAAAGGTGCTCCGACCTTGAAGAACATAGTTTCTTTTTCATTTTAAGGTTTTCGGTGAATGTTTTGTCTGGTTTTGTCAACAAGAAATGTCATATTATTTACGGAATCATACGGGATGTTGGGTTATGGGGTTAAAAACAAACGTAAAATTTATTGTAACAAACTAATAGATACTTACGACACAGTCTTACGATACATGTAAAAAATACTAGAAAATTCCAGGCTAAAGAGGTCAACAAACTGCAGGTTAAACGAAATAGTTTAATTTTCGATGTGTGCGTGTTTGAGCGGTCCAAGATTTATTTTTAAATTTTAGTGTGTAAAAAATTCTAACTCTAATAAAAACTGAGACGAGGTAATCAAGAGGAAAGTCTTTGCAGGGGTGGTGGAATGGTATTTTTGTATGGTTCGTTTTTTAGCCGCAAACCAGTTAACGAATACAGTGCATAAATTGGGAAAAACTCACAAAATGTATTACCCACTACCGGAGTATAAACTGCAAAATGTTCAGGTGGCATCATTAAATCGCCAAAAATCACATCTTCATTGAAAACTTTAAAATGTCACAGAATTAAAACAGGATGTACCACTTCGTAAGAATGTCCAAAGTTCTCACAAACTTCGCAGAAGTGGTGGTGTAAGAATTTTCGTATTAATGAATATCCACAAACATACCATAAACAGTTGTGTTCTTTCAAGGTGAGTTTCCGGTAACTCACATCACTTAATGATTGTTGAAGAGACCGGAATACAGGGAAGATGTGTTGTGGAAGTTTATTTAAAAGAACACCTTAGCAAATTGTTCATTTTGTAGGAAAAGCAGAGAAAAATGTTGTGCCTCGGTGGGATTCGAACCCACGTCTCCAAGCAATCCGGGCTGGTATGCTAACCGCTACACCACAAGACAACTTATCTTTACTCTGCTTTACCCGCGTGTTATTGTGCCGCCACAGTACTCCCCCCCCAGCGACACAGCGCGCGGTCGTGCTGGGGTGCGAAGGAGATAGTTGCTGGCGTCGCTCCTGCCACTCTTACGTTCGTCGTTCGAACCCTGGCGATGCTGCGGACCCCGAACACAGCGGGCACAGGGCGGTGGCAGAAGGATGTTGCGTGCGCGTTGCCTGTCGGTGGTCACCAATGTGGGAAAAGCAGAGAAAAATGTTGTGCCTCGGTGGGATTCGAACCCACGTCTCCAAGCAATCCGGGCTGGTATGCTAACCGCTACACCACAAGACAACTTATCTTTACTCTGCTTTACCCGCGTGTTATTGTGCCGCCACAATTTCAAATAAAATAGTGTTTCACAGTTGGTTCTTGCACTTGTATCGAAATAATCTGTAGTAAATAGTTTCCGAAACGTTCTTTGGAATTCTATTGGTGTGGGATTTATACAATTCCCAAATTGACGCCTCACAGAGCCAAAGAAATATGTCAAACAATACTGATTTAGTTGCAGCAACCTTTTAGTGAAAATTGTAAACAAATTGTATTCTGTGAAAACTAGTAAAAATAATAAGCAAAATATTTATGTTCCTGAAGTTGTTTTTTATTTTTTTGTGAGTGATTTAAAAATATTAAGAGTGAATTAAAAATTTTGCAATTCACTTGTGGATAACAACTTATTTGTCAGACTTGTTAAGGTTTTAATAAACGCAGTTTAAAACGTCAAAATTGAATAAAAATGTTTTGCTTGAATATATTAATAATTTATAGGAAAGAAAAAAATGACCAATGTCACTAGTACATGCCAACTATTTTTATTTTTGTGTACAATTATTAGTATTATATGAATCACATACGAATGCTACGAAATATTTGAATCTTCGTGTTTCCCGGGAACGGGCTCCCAAGGTCACACCCGTTCCGCAAATATTGCTGAAGTTTCGTTACTGATCTACTGTGCCATAGAATAGCCCCACCAATCCCCACCTTAGATCATATCCCCACTACGTTGAAAATGCTGTCAAACAAATTTCATTGGGTCGTAATTAAGTGTGCATTATTTTTAATACTTTGTGCATTAAATTTTATACTATGCGCAATAACATTTGTGTATTAAATTTACTGTGTTTTTGCATTTTGTGCATTATATTAAGTGCAAATTGGAATAATAAGATTATTGTTTTGGGCAATGATTTTCTGTAGTGCGTGCATTATTGAAACTGTATAGAAAATAACAAACAAAAATAGACCTGCTATATTAAAATGTGTTTTATGAATGCATACAAAATTAACAAAAACATAAGATATTCATAGCAAAAAAGTAACTAAACAAATTAAAAGTTTTGAAAAAATTAACAAAGAAACTTTCATCAAAAAACTCAATTACTAAACATTATTAATTTATTGAATAATAATTAATGCTTTTTTGGCTTTAGAAGGGCGGATTCCTTCCCTGCCGAACTGGCGCGAAATGAAGCACATTTTAGTAATTTAGGGAACATTTGAAATGCTCGTTTATTTTTTCTCAAATACAAATTGATTTATTAAAGAAACAGTGATTTTAACGAATGATCAAATTTAATTAAATAATTCTAAATTGCATTATTTATTGCGCAAATAGAAAAAATAATCTGCCATTATTTTATTTATTGCCCTTTCAGTTTTACAAATGCTGAAATAGTTTCTTCTGTGCTGAAATGTTTTTAATAATGCTGTGACTTATTTCACATTTCATTAAAACTAGTGCTCATTTAAATTGTTCTCAATTTCATTGGACGTACCAGTGGCGTCGCATTTTAAATTTTTTGTCGGGGGCACGGGATGAAATACGTGTTAAATTGAAGGCGATTACCTTATTTATTATTTAAATATCTACAACTGTTCATCTAATATTTAAAATTTTATTTTACAAATTAACTTTATTTGTACTTTATTAAATGCATACTAACAAAATTTTATAACTTTAGTTAAAGAACCGAACCCGCAAAACTCTAAATCCATAAATCCAGTGAATGGAACAATTATTGCATTATGCAAAATTTGATGAAGACACAATTTTGGTTATTTGTTGTGTGGGTCGAGAAAAAACGTGTTAGAATGAAAAAGGCAGTTAGTGATTTATTTCACTAACGCATTTGTTACATATTCACAGTAAATATATAAAATAAAACAAATAAATACTTTACGCAAAACGATTATATTCATAATTTAAATTCAATAATAACTGACATTCAAAATTTTCGTCATTTAAGAGATGACGTTTTGTCTTAAAAACATTCGCGCCAACACTAAACATCCGTTCCATTGCGGCGCTAGATGGAATTGTTGTGGGGTAGAGTTCCCTCAAACATATAAGGCGTTTATGACTTCACACCAATTTGACTCCCATTATAATTCAATAGGCCGTCACAACCGGATGTCTTAAACCCGCTCATCGATACCTACCTGAAAAGACCTTTTCTGGTAAAAGCACAGGGCAGGACTGAGTTTTTCATTTACCGACAACTGCGCCTTTCGAGTTTTTTATTTTAAGTAAAAACAAAGTAACTTTGTACTCAATCATTTTTTATTACAGCACAACTATTTACTTATCAACTACTACTGCTTATTTATTGATCGAAATAGTCACTGTCATCATCACTCGACTCTTCTAAATTAACAATTAACGGTTTTATCAACTGTGCCCTGTACTGGTCTTTTCCTGAATTTATTCTTCAAGAAGGCACTATGCATTGTAGCTTCTGCTACAAACCGCATTTCTATTTACAAATATATGTTTTCGGATCATCGGCAAAATTTTTTGCTACAATATTTCGAAAAGTATTTAAAAATAAATTGCTACAAAAATACTAATTAACTGGCCTATTATTATTAATTTTTATTTATTTGTCACTATTTAGTGTAAGACAATAATTTTTAAAAATTTTATTTATCTATATATTTTTTATTAAAAAAATTAAGCTTGATAAACCTGTTTTTATAATTTGTAAATAAATTTAGTTGTGTTATTACACTTCTTTTCAATTTTTGGAGGATATGCAACTGCATATCTCTGCATATATTAATAAAGTTACAGCATATTTGCATAAATTTCATGCATATTACATGATCATATTTTTCAAAATTTTGCTGCATACTTTTCGCTCTCTAGTCATGTATTATTTTTAATATAACACTATAACAGCAATATGAATGTACCCTCTGGATTTGAAACAAAGGACGGTGACATCGTCAAAATTATTTGATTTATCAATAAACTTAATGGACCAGTTTTCTATGATTGCGATCGTACTTATTAAAGATTTTATGTTTTTTGCTTTCAGTATCTTAATAATATTTTCAAATGTGCAGAATAATGATTAAATAATTAAGGTACGGAAGAAACGTTAAAAACAAAATTACTCTTAGTCCGGTCCTTCGCGTCTCGGCCGTCCCTGGCACGTGGCATGGTTTACATTTACTAAGCTTTATGAAGGGTCGGCTGTAAAGTACTTTAAATGTCAAAGCCATAAACGCCTTATAGGTTTGAGGAAACTATACCTGAAAACCCAAAGGAGATGACATTAGTAACTAATACAATGACTTCAGGGAATGCCTAACAACGGCTTTTGTGAAAATTCAGGTAAATATGTACAGTAGTCCTAGAGTGACTTTGTTTTTATGACTGCATCCTATTGTGGAGGAGTTAGGTTCCTCTACAATAGGTCTATTTTTATTTTGTCCACACCGGGCCTGTATTGTACGACGAAAGATATTTGCAAATGACTCCAAGTATGGGACCTGCAGCTGTAAAATTTCCGACCACTTCGGATATGCACCCAGCATAAAACTGTCAATCAAGATTACTCGCCACCCTTACCTTTCCAGGACCGTATTTGTTTCAATACGTGAACAGGTAAATTCTTAAACCGACCGCTTTCAAGGAATTTAATCTTAAAGTTTAAGGACACATGAAAGTGTGGTTCTTAAAACTTTTTAAATCTTTGCAAATACATATTTCCTAGAAAAACCCAATAAA